CGCGAGTAACTAGGAAGTCTATGGTGTACTATGGGGGGGAGTAACTAGGCAACAGATAACTAGAGAGTCTGGTAACTAGGGAACGAGTAACGGGGAAGTCTGGCAACTAGGGAGTCCGGTAACTTGGGAGTCTAGTAATTAAGAAGCGAGTAACTAGGAAGTCTATGGTGTACTATGGGGGGGAGTAACTAGGCAACAGATAACTAGAGAGTCTGGTAACTAGAGAGCGGGTAACTGGGTAGGCGGGCGGGTAACTTGGAATCGGATATTTAGGGAGTCTGGACGCATTCGTGTCTAGCTAGCGATGAGTGCGATAACTTACAAATGCAATGCAAGAATCACGACAAATGATCAAAGATAAAAATCAGAAAATATTAAACAGTCCTTATTTCGCCGCACGCGCTGTATATCATGTTATTCGCTATTAATTCGCGTTTCATTTTTTTGCCGTTACAGGGAGTCACGGAGGCGGACAGAGGTCTGTATAAAGTTACCGCCAGCAACAACATGGGAGAGGCGTCGGCTGAATTGGAAGTCAAGTAAGTGGGGATGTCATATTAGAACTGGAGGGCGAGTTCCATCGAAGTCACTGCTGTTATGGTTTCGAGCAATGTACTCTATACCGATATGCCTCAGTCGACACTGCTAAAAAAAGCAATTTATCTCACTCGCGCAAGGCTAACAACCTCATATATAGACGAGCTAGTAGTTTTGCTAGACAAAGCCTGTAAATGAAGCCAAAACACCGCAACTGCCGAGGGCCTATGCTCTACGATTGGAGTCAAATGACTGAAAGGTGTCATATTAGAGATCCCGTAATAAGGGCTATGCGCAGAGCAAACGACGCTAGAAAATCTAAATGCAGATGCAACGATATTTAGCTTGCAGCTATTTTGGTTGCGCATTTCCATGTAGTTGCATCTATTGTCACAAGCAATAAGTGTCAGAAATCAAACATACCATAGATAGCTAGCTTGAAGAAGGTCTATCTATCTAGGTTAGCGGTGTAAATGATAAATATAGCCTAAAACAATTTCCAGAAGAGAGCATCCCGAAGCGTCTGCCACGTGCCTTCCCTATTATACCTCCACAAAGCGCAGTTCTATAATGAGAGACTGCCTGCCAGCCTAATTTTTGCCTAGAGGATATTCATGTTATCATGTTTCCATCCATCTGCGATAAATAGCTTTCCGTCATGTGTTTTTGATTTTCCAAGACGAAGCTGCGTAGGCGACGGCCAGCGAATAAGCTATATAACCGAGGAATCGGCATAAGCAAAACCGAATTGTTTACCGTGATAAAGCACATTTATAATGCGACGAAACCAACAAACGAGTCTGAAACCAATCGGAGACCGACCATCGAGAAGTAGAATACAGCAGAATAGACGAGATTAGATTATTATTTTGACGCGCGTAAACCTCATATCTATTCTGTTATAATTCACTTTAGGGATGAGGTCAAGATTGAGATCGAAGAGAAGAAGCAGAAACCTTCCTTTGTGGAGAAGCTCGTTGACAAGAATGGGATTGTCGCAGGCCTTATTGAGCTTACCTGTAAAGTCGAGGGTCATCCCATGCCAACGGTGACCTGGTACAGGTAAGTGCGACAATCACAGTTAAGCCCTGTCTACATTAGCAAACTTTAGTTTGCAAACTCGAGCAAACTCCGAGTTTGTTAAAGTTTGGAGAAGTTTGTG